AGTGATCTAAACGCTGCTTGTTTCCTTCGCTCTGTTACGCTAATGAGCGTGACACATTCAAACAGTTGGAGTAGCAGCAGATCAACAGTGAAAAAGTCAGCAGTGTGAAACTACTTCACAGTTCCTATGAGGGACATCAGACAAGAGATTTATGATCACTGTTCATGCTGAGGGTCATGAGGGGCTGAGAAGACCAAGAACTTCTCCACTTCAGGATTGATACCACTTGAAAACGTGGCATCCTGCTTGAGATGCAGAAAACAGGAGAACTAAAGATGAAGCAGAAATGAAAGTGTTTGCTTGCTAAATTAAGTGACCCCTATTAGTCCCACAACAGGGAAATTTCACCTCCGCATTTTGACCCATCCATGCAGTGAAACACCACATACACACTAGTGAACACACACACTAGGGGGCAGTGAGCACACTTGCCCAGAGTGGTGGGGAGCAGTTGGGGGTTAGGTGCTCAAGGGCACTTCAGTCACATACTGTCGGCTCAGGGGATCAAACCAGCGACCTTCCGGTCACAGGGCTGGTTCTCTAGCCTCCAACCCACGACTGTGCTACCTGTGTACCAACAGTTTTGGAAATGACTGACAAACTAGAGAGCCACAGTTCAAATTCTGTCTCAAAATAGTGAAATAAATAATGAATAATGAAATAATAATTCATTGCCTTGAATGAACAGCTGTTGTTGAACAGCTCCATTGCTGAAGATGTTGGATTTCATGGTTTATAGTGTAGCCTGGATAATGTAATAATTTTAGTATGTTTATTTATGTAAACTGTGTTTATTTATGGTCAGCTTTTTCCAGTTTCAGTTTTTGGCCCAGTGTGCTTAATTTTGGTTTCTGTTTTGACCAAGAATTTTAATTTCAGTAGTTGAAACCTATCACTGTTGGGACAATAGTATCTCCATGTATGTCCATTCACAGTTAGGATTTCTCCTGTAAAGTTATTTTTGGAGATATAAAGTTTTGTTCCAAGAGCGACAATATCTTTTTACACAGATTACGTACATTATACTGTTATAATTTCTGGACATTTCCCATTGGTTTGTTGTTTGCAAGTGACACGTCTTGTTAACGAGAAAAGGGACTAAGTCTAACTAGCATTTAACTTGGCACATAGATACAAGGTGTGCTGCAAGTTTGTGGTTGGACAGTGACCAAATACTGGAGACTGAAAAATTTAAATTGGTTAAACATTTTAATAATGCAGTGGGACAAAGGGGCAGACAACTTACAGGTCTCCACCCACACACTCGCAAAAGCAAGGTAGAGTATATCAATCTGTAAAATATAAGAAACTTACAAACAAATTTACAAAGAAATTGTGTGTTGTGCGCCTTCGATTTTTATGGCCAATTTCATTTCGTCATTGCTTATGCTAATGAAATAAACGCATTAACACACATCGACTTGCTTTTGACAGTAACAGGTAGCTTGAAACTAACCTAGACTTTCTTATTTGTACCCATAAACTGAAAAGGCAAGCTCCGCCCCTGGTTAAGCCGCTTGCTTTTCCTTTGTGTTTCCAGCACCACCCCTTTCGTTCCATCAGCCTGGGTCCTCCTGTCAACCTAGATGAAGGATGGTCACAGCGAGCTTTTAAACATCCGTCAAAGAGGCCTTGTGTTTACTGACATCCATTGGCAGGCGCCTTGCTCATCAGTCAGCGCATTAACATCTTTAACCCCTCTCGTAATCTCTCCGAATATTAGTTGATCTCATTCCGCTCGTGGGCCGAGGCTCTGGGGGACAGGAGCGCTGGGATTTTTCGCCTTTGTAACTTTCACCCCTTGTCGCCCCGCTTTTGTTTTCCGAAGCTTTTCCGCAGCCGTGGCGAGAGCGTTTGGTATTCGGCTGAGGCGATTCTATTTCAGCATGCACAAAATGACTTAAGTAATCAACAGTTATTGAGTGCTTGTGACTGCATGAGAGGGCTGTTGATTGGGAATGAGCCTTCACTTAAGAAAAGGACCTCGCTCCCAGTGCTGGAGTGGCGTATTATTGAAACAGATGCTGGCTGAATTGCTCCTCAAAACACACGATTTGGCCTGGAGTTGTCACCGAAGTGCTGCAGTATCACTGGAATCAGCCTATTTTGCTTCGGGATAGTCAAGACGTTTCTTTTAACGTCTTAACAGACGCACTAAAACAACGCACTTTGAAAGCGTATCTGCAGCATCTTGCATTATGCATTACCATCACTATAAATGGCTGTTTAAAATGCTGCCATCATAATGTTTGTTTTTCCAAAAGTAGCTACTCATATTAGCATTTCTTTTACCAGATATTAAGTAACATGTAAATAATTAACAATGACTGATTATTTGGTTAAAGTGCAGGATTTAAGGCTGTTTATACCTACATCACCACACGTATGGGGAGAGTGGTGCACAACTTAACACTTTTTTGGGAAATCTTTTTTTGATTGAACATGTTTGGGCTATTACAGGCCGTACTTTAGCTCTCGCTAAGAGTTAGTTGTTCTTTTTGGAGCTTGTTGTATTACAGCCACCAAGATAGTTATCAAAATAAATTTGTGACTTAAACCGATCTCAAGAAATCATCTGACTGCTGTCAAATTTCATAGAAGACGTTGCTGTGGGAACAAGAGAAGCTTTCCAGAGTGAGACTCTGCTCTTTTTCATACATTTATACAAACGTAAATGCACAAATGAACATAATCTTAACTAAAGTTGTTTAGATATTTAATAAGATTCTTTTCATTCTGTGACTTCCTGAAGTCTGCAAATCACTGATATTTTCACATGGGGGACATCTTCCTTGGCCTGGCCTGTAGAGCAGCCATTCTCAGTTCCTGCTTGTTCTGGGAGTTTTTTGCCTCCATTCTCGTCTTCAGTAAGTGAAATGCTGCTCAGTCGGGGTCCGGTCAGGGGATTAACTCAGCAAGTCAGGGACATTTTGCTTGTTGGTCCTGAAAAACTCCTGTTGTACAGTTGAGATAATTGTTCTGCTGCAAGGCAAAGCGTCATCCAGTGAGTGTTGAGTTGTTAGGCTGCATCTGAACAAGTGTGCACTTCAAAATTCATCTTGCTGCTGCTGTCGGCCGTCACATCATCAATAAAGACAACATACAGGCTGATGCCAGAAGCGGAAAGAGCTGACCGCACCATTAGATAAGTGTCATTCACAATCTCCCCCTCTCTCACTTCACTCTCTTGTCAAGGAGAGAGGTCCTTTCTTTTTCTTTCTCCCTCAGTATCCACCTCCAGATCTCCTGATTTAGAATTTAAATTAATATGAAAATATTGTTACCAGTACCAATTTAAAGGAGCTGATTCCCATGACCAGTTGTATTGGCCAGTTTAATTAATTATGGTCAAAAAATGACCAGACTCTTATAGTTTTAGTTAAACGATGCTGAACTTCACTGTAATGACTGTCACGTCTGATTGTATGGGCTATATATATATATATATACTCGTATTTCCGAAATGGTAACTTTACAGGAGAAGGAAAAAACCAACTTTACTTTTAATGTAAGTGAATGGAACCAGAATTTTTTCCAAGCCGTTTATTTTCCATTCAGCATGAAATTTACGCACAATGTGAAGGTCAACAAGTGTTTTCAAATTATGTCAAAAACTGAAAAACTATATATACACACACACACACACATAGTTAGTGGTTTAACTCCGGGGTGTCAAACTCAACCACTAAAGAGGCCGTATTAAAAAATCTCATCAAATCTGTGGGCCAAAGAAAAGAAAAGTTCTTATTTCATTTTTAATTAATTTACCCAAACTGGCCATTGTTTATTCACTATACAGTAGGCAGTGTGCTTCAGCAGTAAAACATAGGCACATAGTAGACATTGAAATATTACATGAATACTTGAAATATTCCAAATTTAGATGTGCCCAGGAGCTCAGTCCTTTAAACCCACCTATCTGCTTGGATTAGACACCTGACATCCTTTCTTTGCTGCAAGCTTATTAATACTTGGACTCAATTTCTGAGCTGACATTAGATGCTTATACTGGAACTGAACTGCAGCTGACATGCAGCTAGTGTGTTTGGTGATATGACTGGTATGTAATTGCATTGAACTGTGTAGAATTGAGGTGTAACCTCATATGTTGTTGTTGTTGGGGTAGAAGAGTCAGAGCGCACATTACGCTGCAGTGCATGCTGGGGACGCAGTGTGAAATGGCCTAATATTGATTGAAAATCAAGGTACTTTTGCTGGCTGGTTAGGATTGTGTCGTCTGCCTCATCTGGACCCCGCGCCTTGTCTTTGACACATGGGCTTTAACTCTTATTGTAGCCTCTCGCTCTTCTTCATACAGCTGGTGGATTCTTGTAATTGGACGAGACGGCAACAGTCACGCATTCACAGCAACATACAGCAGCTTAGACTGCTATGAACGGTTCAAAGCATCAAATTACGTATTTAGCGTTTGAAGATCTTTGTAGTTTAATTACATGTTAACTTTTACAGCCCTGTGATAAACATTTCTGTGAATGTGTTCGTTGAGTCAGCTGGCCAGAAAAGTGACTTCAAACATTTTTCTCATATCAAAGATTGTCATTACAGTATGAAACAAGTCACTAAGCTTCTGTGCTTATTTTTTTGCCAATACGAGTGTAAATTCGCAGGACCTCAGAATTGACCGATGTTTTTGAGCACAGGCCACATTTTATGTTCTCTTTTTTCTCTAATATGTTACATTCAGCAAATAAACATTAACTGTGCATTAAAATGTGCAGAAGTGTGTGGAGGTTTAATATAGGTTAATAAGGTTTTCACTTAGAAAATGAACAAAACATGTCATTTAAAAAGGGGCGCCCAAACTTTTACACACGTCTGTATTTGTTAGTTGGGCTGTAGTTGTGTGACACTCATCCACACTACTTCACCCACAGCTGTGCTCACTAATACACCAACCACTGCTTCCCTATATTTTGGCTGTACTTGCTCTACTTCATCTCTCTCTCCCTCTCTTTTTCTTCCTCTCTCTCCCCCCTAAGCTCCAGATGGCCTCTTGCCCCCGAGGCTGGCAGCTGCCACCCCCACCTCACTGCAGGTGGCCTGGCTCAGTCCCGCACGCCCCAACGCTCCTGGACCCCTGCGCTACCGGCTCCAGATGAGGAAGCCAGCCACACAGCATGTACTGCAGTGAGTTACCAACCACCATTAGCACTGCTGCCTGTATATGTGCCTGCGTCTCACACATATGCACACTTTACACTGTCTACACATATAGGTCACTCCCTCTAGGGCCGTCGCTGATGGGTAGAACAGTTTTAGTTAATGGTTCTCTTGAGGAATGTGTCCATAAGTTTCAGTTACGTGGCTTTGTTGCCATGGCCACCATATTGACGACCTCGTTTAACAGAACACAGTGGCATGTAAGTTCAAGTAACTCCAGCAGCACTGCTGTGTCTGATCCACTCAGACCAACGCAACACACACTAACACACCACCACCACGTCAGTGTTACTGCAGTGCTGAGAATGATCCACCACCCAAATAGTACCTGCTCTGTGAGGGTCCATGGGGGTCCTGACCACTGAAGAACAGGGTAAAAGGGGGCTAACAAAGTATCAGAGAAACAGATGGACTACAGTCTGTAACTGTAGAACTACAAAGTGCACCTATATAGTAAGTGGAGCTATAAGTCTGTATATCTTTGTTCAGTGAAGCCCAAATTAAATCCTTCTACATAGTTTATGCACTATTCATAAAGCTTTATTCATTATAACTTGTATTGGTACATAATTTAAGTTCTGTTACATGAACATTAGTTGCAGTAATGCACAGTAATCACTTATGACCTTGTTAAGCAAACTGTTAAGCACAGGATATTCACATTTAATTCATCTAAACATTCCAGGCAGCATTAATTAACTGGTTTAGCCCTAAACAGTGCTAAAAAGTTTTCAAAACGTCAGTTTGCACCACAAATTCAGCACCTATTTCTGATATTTTTACTGAAAATCTGCATTTGATAACTAACAAAAATTTCACAACATAAAATTATCTTAGAAAATGGGATGCAGTTTGACTTATTGAAAACTTGTTTCGTACTCTTTAGCCTTTAATTAGTGACTGTACTTTGGAATATGGAACACATATTTTTAATCAGTTGCTCATCTCCAGAAGTGACTTGATGCTGCATAGAACTGTTAGAAATAAAATGTTGCCAGTCATACATTAATAAAGTATGAAGTTAGTTGATTATTTCATGCTCAGTGATTTGAATAACAACGTCTTAAAGTGTTTATTGTGCTTTTGTGATATTTTCACATAGCAGGCCTATGATTATGTACTCATATAGGTTACAGTGAATAAAGCATAACACATAGTGAATTAACCATTTATAAGTGTCTGTCTTGGGCTTTATTGAACAAAGACCCTAATAACCCCCATAAAACCCCAATAAGTGTTCCTTAAAATAAAATTATACACATGTTGCAGTAACAACAGCATAAAACTAACTCTGGTCATCAGTATCTCATTATCTCCTATTGTGACATGAGATTCATGGCTAATATCAAAGTTAGTTAAAGGTTACAGTATGTATTTATTTATTGTTCAACCTTTATTGAATCTGATGAGAAGTCTTTGTGAAATCACAGTCATCGTAAATAGAATGTAAGTGAAATTAATATGATGAGTAATTGTGTAATGGAAATGAAGTGATTATGTAATGTAAATTGAATGAATAGCAAAGCAACAGTCGTAACTGCAGACTTCTGGAAAGTAACAGAGCAGTTTCCCAGGTAATAGTGAGCACACCCGGGGCCCAATTGAAAAAGAAAAAAAAAGAGGAAGAAAAAAAAGAACCAACTTCTTTCTCTGATATGTATGCATTACATGCCCCCTGACAACAAATTGCTATTTAATCAGAGACGGGGGAATTCTCATTCTGTTGTAATAAATAAATGACTAGGCCCATGTATTATATATCAGCCTCATTTCCTGCCATTCCGTTCAAATGTATTTCATTGTTCAGGTGATTTATTTATTATAGTCCTATGGTAAATTTGATCGTGGTGCTTGGTGAAAATTGGCGCCGCTCAAAAACTAGCATGACCGTATTGCAATCACCAAGAGTCATAAGGCATTTAATGAGGACCACTTAGATAGAGTTGTTTTTGCAGGAAAACAAAGAAAATATCAGTTTGTGTACGATTTCATGGGTTATAGTTTTATTGTGAGGCACAAATTGAGGACAGAAAAGCACATTCAGGGCAATAATTTGATCAGAGCAGTTTCCAAACGGAATACAGTATTAACTTCTTTCCCCTTTCAGATTGGAAGTGAACAGGTTTAGGCCTGTGTGTATGCTGTGCAATGAGTTGTGTGTGTATATGTGCTTTACAGATTGGTGGACAATGAGACGACAGTGTTCAGTCAGCTGGTGGAGGGTTTGGAGCCGTACACTGAATATCAGTTCAGACTGCTGGTGTCCCACAACCACGGAGAGAGCAGCAGCTCCTGGATCTCTCTCTATACCGCCCAAGACCGTGAGTCACACACACACCACAGATTTGGACAAGTCACTAAGTTGCAAGTAACAAGTAAGGCTGTCTTCACATGTTAAAATTTTTATGCAACTTTAGTTGCATGAAACCTACTTGAAACTAAATTACACTTACAGTAATGTCTTGTGAGACAGATGATTAGAGAACTAGATTGTAAGTAACTGACTGTACAGAATCCTGTCTGTGGTCAGATGCAGCTCCATATTTCTTCCACTTGGGGTGTCGAGTCTTGCCGCGTCATAAGTCTTTGTTATTATGTTGATTAGAGTATAAATTCAATTATTTTTGTGATTTGAGTCCTGATTCGAGTCCAAGTCGTGTGCCTCGAGTCCACACCTCTGATCCACACAAACAGTTGTATGCAATAGTTTGGATGCCCTTAGTCAAATAAAATTTTATTTATTTTCTGAGGCTGGGTGTACATTACAGTACTTTTAAAATTTTAAAAACAGAGAGCATCACAAACTTAACGTCAGTTTGTCGCAGAGGTTATTGTCTTTTGGTCGTGTGGGCGCTAGACGACAAGGCAAAGAGTGAGTGTAACACACAAAACGAGTTTTGACTATAAATAAGAGCTCAAGAGATCGCATCACGCAAACTGGAGGCCTGGAGTTTAGGGAACCAGCCCTGTGACCGGAAGGTCACCGGTTCAATCCCCTGAGCTGACAGTATGTGACTGAAGTGCCCTTGACCAAGGCACCTAACCCCCAACTGCTCCCCAGGCGCTGTGGATAGGGCTGCCCACCGCTCTGGGCAAGTGTGCTCACTGCCCCTAGTGGGTGTGTTCACTAGTGTGTATGTGGTGTTTCACTGCACGGATGGGTCAAAATGTGGAAGTGAAATTTCCCAATGTGGGACTAATAAGGGTCACTTAATCAAACAAAGCTAAGCTCACTGGACATATTTCACTACAAACTAGCAGGTGACTTGAAATTGTAAAGAGAGTGACTTCACCTTTGGATCCATACATTATAAACATGATATCGGCTCTTATCTGGCTGTTACAGTGGATACACTTCTGCTCATTCTAATACGCACTTACTGTTTATTAGTTTTAACATATTTGGGGGGCGGGGAATAGGTTATGGCACATTTTATGTTTTATTTTTTTTCTAAAATGTTAAACTCAGCACTAAAAATATTATTAACATTATTATTATTATTAAGTACCGTCACGTTGTTTTTGACTCCTGGCAAACACATGGGCAGTGTTTCTCCGGAATATCCAGTCTTCTGTTTGGGCCTTCAGGCTTCCAAATGGCTGGTTCCTCTGATTGTATTCATCCATCTCGTTGCTGGCCATCCTCTTCCTCTTTTACCTTTATTTATTGTTTGTTTTATTTTACCTTTATTTAACCAGGATAGTCACACTGAGATTAAAAATCTCTTTTACAAGTCAGCCCTGGTCAAGAAGGCAGCACAAAACACAAAATAATCAACAAAGAAACAACACGACAGAATCAAATCAGGGTCAAAACCACATTAAAAACAATAATAAACAGAACGATACAGCTCTTTAACAATCATCTTAAAGTCACTCGAGGACATAAACGGCTCCAGTTTCAGATGTTTCTGCAGATCATTTCACGCAGATGGAGCTCTGTAACTAAAAGCTGCCTCACCATATTCAGACTGTATGGATCAGAACATCCAGCTGAATGTAATTATTAGAACGGGACTTATTTGTTGATATGAAAACAGACAAACATGAAGAAAGCTGACCAATTATTGCTTTATAGACAAAAATTATCCAATGAATTTGTCTTCGCTCTGAAAGTGAAGGCCATCCAACCATTTCATAAAGTTCACAGTGATGAGTTGAAAATCTAGCGCCTGTTATAAATCTGAACGCTGAATGATAAACAGAGTCCAGTGAGTGCAGTGCTCTCTTTATATGTATAAAATAGTATACCTATAAAAATATCACCATAATGTAGAAAAGGTAGAAACTAGATTTTTTCGTGCCTGTTGAGTAAAGAAAAAACTGCTCCTATAATAAAATCCCAACATCAACTTTAACTTCTTTATCAATTGTTCCACATGCAATTTAAAAGACAGGTTATCATCTAATATAAACTCTTGCAAACATAATGGTCTTTTTCAATGATTTGTTTCTTTAAAATTAGCAAAAACATGAGTTTTGAGTTTGTTCCCTGTAGGAGATCAGTGCTTATTTTCACTTCACAATATCAACAAAAACATGATTTGACTGGGGGTGTTTAAACTTTTGCATCTGACTGTATAAGTACACACTAGCCGACAGTGTTGTTTGATAGTGTGTTTGTAAGAGCCTTACTCAGCAAGTGCAGAAGGAGAGGAGCAGGTGGTGTGTGTGTATGTGTGTGTGTGTGTGTGTGTGTGTGTGTGTGTGTGTGTGTGTGTGTGTGTGTGTGTGTGTGTGTGTTAGCCCAGAGAGCTGAATCTAGAGGTGTATATCTGCTAGATGACCTAGCTGGTGTCATTGTGGACTGATTACTGTAATAGAATCATATTAGGGTTCATAACAGACACTCTTTGCTAAGTTATAAATTAATTATACTTCAGTCTATTATCACATACATTCTAATTAAGGAGCCACTATTTGCATACACTCAAAATGCGCTGTATTATGGACCATCACCTCTTCATTACCATGCGGAGAGTTACACCCCCCACACACCACCCTCTATCTCTCTGTCTCTCTCCCTCTCTTTCTGCCTCTCTCTCTCTCTCTTTGAGTTAATGCCCTGCAGCATTCTACAACTTCTGCTGAAGTTCTTTTCCTCTGTCTCTGAACGAGAGTGGATACGTGAACAGAGTGCAGGCTCGCAGCTCAAATTCGGTTTATAACACATCACTGATTTAATCCCTTACATCCTAAGGTTTATTATCCATTTATTATTCTGTAACTTCAAAGGCTACAGTGCAAACTAGCTGAGTTATTCTTAACCTGAATCAACGCTTTTTATTTTTTATTACCTTTAAAGTGTGACAATAAATAATGAAGATGGAATAATAACATTTTTTGGTCAGTGTTCAGGGGTTATAGTTAAGTTAGTTAAGTGACCCTTACTAGTCCCAAAACGGGGAAATTTCACCTCCACATTTAACCCAACCGTGCAGTGAAACACCACAAACACACTAGTGAACACACACACTAGGGGGCAGTGAGCACACCTGCCCAGAGCGGTGGGCAGCCCTATCCATGGCGCCTGGGGAGCAGTTGGGGGTTAGGTGCCTTGGTCAAGGGCACTTCAGTTAGGGCTGAAATATTTATCGTTTTTTATATCGAAATCTCAATTTAAGAATCGCAAGAGCTGCATTTTTTTTTAATTATAGCCTTTATTATCAAAAACCCTGGCTTAAAATTTTAGTGGGGAAATTTAAACTAATAAAACAGAACTTGTGAACTGCCTGTAGATGAGTTAGACCAATCAGAGGCAGCCAAACCTTCGTGTTGTGACATCACAACCACAACTTACTGGAAGTCTGGCACACATTCAGCGGTCAAGCCTCAGGCTAGAAAAAGGGGATATTCTGGTCTTCTTGGCACAAAAAGCCTGAACCTTAGATATTTTCCCTAAATTGTTCAGCCCTAACTTCAGTCATGTACTGTTAGCTCTGAGGATCGAACCAGCAACCTTCCGGTCACAAGGCTGGTTCCCTAACCTCCAGCCCATGACTGCCCTGCAAAAACAGGCCAGTTGCCCATACAGCAATCGAACCCGCGATCTATGTGGTTAGTAGTAGTTTGGACTTGTCAGCGGGTCCTGGCCATTTAAAGAGTAAAGCCTAAAGTTTCCTTTTTATTTAAAACTGAAAAATACTGTCATATGCAAAAATCTAATTACACGTCTTGTTGATTTTCTAAGTGAACTGAAGTTAACATCCTCTACAGATAACAGACTTAAATATTATAATAAAGACATTTTTCTGCTAATTTTAGAGCTCACTTTCTTTTTGTTTGTTGATTTTAACAAATTGAATGCAATAAAATATAACAATTGCACAGGTGACATTTCATGTTTTATTTTCTTTCATTCAGCATTAATGGTCCCTTCACAGATGTGCACGTCACCCATGCCATGTGCACTAATGCCCCCCTACACCATCATGAATACTGGCTTTTGGACTGTGTACTGATAACAAGCTGAGTGGTCTTTAGCCCGGAGGACACAGTGACCATGATTTCCAAAAAGAATTTCAAATGTTGATTCGTCAGACCACAGGACACTTTTCCACTTCCCCTCAGTCCATTTTAAATGAGCTCAGGCCCAGAGAAGGTGGCAGCGTTTCTGGATATTGTTTAGATGTGGTTTCTTCTTTGCATGTTTTGTGCGATTTGTGGATGCAGTGATGAACTGTTTTCACAGACAGTGTTTTTCAGAAGTGTCTCTGAGCCCATGCAGTGATTTCCACTACAGAATCATGTCTGGTTTTAATGCAGTGCTGTCTGAGGGTCCAAAGATCACGTCCAGCTAATACTGGTTTTTGGCCTCGTCCCTTACATACAGAGATTTCTCCAGATTCTCTGAATCTTTTAATGATGATTTGTATCGTAAATGATGAAAAGCAAAAGTTCTTTGCTATTTTACGTTGAGAAACGTTATTCTTGAATTGTTGCACTATTTGATGGTGCAGTCTTTCACAGAGTGGTGAACCCCTCCTCATCTTTACTTCTGAAAGACTCCGCCTCTCTGAGATGCTCTTTAATACCAATCATGTTACTGACCTGTTGCCACCAGGTGTTTTTTTAGCATTACCCAACTATACCAGCCTTTTTTTGCCCCGTCCCAACTTTTTTGGGAAAAATATGGGGTTTAAATGATCTGCACATCATTGCATTTTGTCTTTATTTACATTTTGCACAGCATCCCAACTTTTTTGGAAATGGGGTTGTGTGTATATATATATACATACATATATATATATATATATATATATATATATATATATATATATATATATATATATATACACACACACCATTTTATGGTTACTTA